GTTTATGACACTTCGAATCCGCAAATATTTGGACGAGTCATGTACAAATCAAATTAATACAATTTGGCTGTGCTGACACAATCAAAATAAATAAACGTCACAGCTTCAGCCGTGGAGAAAGAATAAGTTTGAATCTGCGTCTCATAAAAATCATTTAAAATATCTCTTGGTGGTGAGTTAGTCATTAGTGGTTTGAACTGTACCGAGTGGTTGAGATAAAAAACACTTTTTTTCAAATAAATATTTGTATGTATGTGTTGTTTTTATTTCAAAAATAATTCAATAATAATTCACAAAATGTAGCGACACTTTAAATCCGCTAAGCTCTTGTGGCGATTGCGGCTGCTCGGGTCGGCGGTGAGTAGCTGGCCCGACAGCTAACGACACACGGAATCCGCAGCCAAATGAACTCCACTCTGATAATGGTTTGTGAGCTGCTTAATATGAAAGACATATGTACATATACATATTTATATGCTTCAGTTCCATTTTAAATATTATTAATAAAACCGTATAGTTTGTAGTTAAGTGTATCATATTCGTATGCTCGCTTTGTTAATTAATTTATATAATTATATTCGACTTTTATGTAAACATACAAAGTATATGGTTCTTCGATGAGCAATTTGTATAAATGAGGTAGGGAAGTGATAAGTATGGGTGCGACTGAACGTTAGTTGCTCTCGCTATATACCTATTGACAAGCAGAAATTGTGGACCGTTTTATTGCTCATCCTCCAAGCGGGAGTACTAGGCATATATAAGGCCTGTGGAGTTCTATTAAACAACTACGGGAGCATACAGAAAGCAACCAGCCAGGCAGCATTGCCCGCCTTGTCGACACTAAAGACTAATTCTAGCGTAGTTAACAATTGCAGGAAGGTGTGTGTCTAGCGCTAATTGAACCAGAGGTGGCTGCACTCCTCTTTATTTATCTTATCTCGCTACTGTAGGGTCTAAGATAATTTTATTTACTATATGGGGGTTAAAGTACAACAAGAACCGATTCTATCCATTTTCATTTTTAGAACTACGTCATATTATATTAATTGTGATATAATTGTCTTATTTTACCAGCCGGAAAAACTGACACCTTAATATCAGGTGGCTAGGAGATTATATCCATTTTGATTGGTTTTCTATATGCTGCTGTAAAGGCTGCTGTCCGATCCCTTAATGCCGATTTTTATTCTGAGTCAAAAAGTTGAAAACAGAACTCTGTGTGCTGAATTTCGCCTAAACCGGTAGCACGGGCGTAGTTATGGACCGATGTTGTCCTGTTTCAAACTGTAGCATGATGCCGTAAACTGCAATGCTCCGAAATATTTTAGTAACCAGTAGATTATATAATATATATGACTGTAATCAATCTGTTATTTTTTTCATGCTTTCTAAATTTTGTATGGAAAAATGGAAATAAAGATTTAAACATAAACGAGAGCAAATCGTACATAATCATTGATCGTTTCATGAGCTGTGGGCACAAATATATTCAAAATCGATCTTATATCTGGTATATATCTTATATCCAGGTTAATAGATGGTGTAATCATATCTCCCCTTTGCTTTTTGAAACTTTTACAAATAACCGCTAGATAAACAAAACATTTACACTCTTGTGCAAAATGATGCGATAGTATATAATTCTTTAGTTACCACGTGTTTCTCCTGCGTAGCGGCAAAGCGAGTGCGCATGCGTAGAAAAGCGAGTGAGTGTGTACGTGTGGTGCTTATATGTAAATATAAATACATATTTCATTAGAAAAAAACGTGAAACTACTAAAAATGTCATTCGCACGATTATTGATAGTAAATATTTCCAAGGTTAATAAAATAACTGGAATTTGATAAGAATAAATTTCGGATTTTTATAATAAAAACTTTAAATTAAGAACACCGACAAAGTAATACGTCTAGACTTTTTGCAAATTATGGTAAGATCTAAAAAGAGTTTTCTTTACTCGTCAGAAAATGACAAATTTTCTGAAATGCTGAATCGACTGCTTACGTCCACTATTCCATTACTATCGATTATACAATAGATATTGTGGCATAAAAAGATCTTGCTTTCAAGTTTCTCACACGTCAATTTCAAATCATAATAAAGACACATATTGTTTAAGAATCACTTATATGGTTAAATATAGTGTATGTGTGCAAGTCAACAATAAAAACTGGTCTGCATAAAGCATGAATGACGTTGAGGAATAATAAAAGATATGCAAATTCAATTATTCTAAGACTTGTTTTTCTCTAATGCAAGACTTGTTACCATAGACATAAATATTTGCACTAGTGTGTAGTTTTGGGCTGGGCTTAGGCTACTTTTAGATATCAATATGCAATCGTTTGACCATAACTTTATAAGTGCAGCATTCTTCTTTATTTACAACCAAAAGGTCTTCAGCGTCATATAAGCCAGAATTACCTTAACTCACCACCTTCGCTTCATATTGTCTTATTAAGTTCTTTGAACTGGAAATACCGTCATATTGTTTACAATGAATTCAATTTAGGAACACCTTTACCAAATATTATACATATTTATTAGAACAAACATTCACTGCTCTACTATATATATAGTATTCTCATAATTCTTAATGCAACTTGTATATTGGAGCTTATTCCGGTTTCGATTATTGGAATTGAAAATGAATTCAATAAATTATCATCACAAGATGAAATCTAAACCTCACCAAGCGTTTATCAATTATATTAAATAATGTTGACGTCTATTAAATTAGAGAGATAAGAGTAAATGAGACGAATTTGTTAATCAGCCATTTTGAACGACTAATCGTTTATATATATAAACTTTAAAGAAATTGCGCATTCTTAGTCATATTTTCTATCATAATGAGTCAAATGTTAAAGTAAACAAAAAATCGAGTAAAAAGTTCTTTTTGCAATCTCGCAACATATTTCACTTGTGTACATTAGCCTTTTTTACATAACGGTTGTTTTTAATAAAGTGTCTTTTCTTTTTAATCATGTAATTTTCAAGCATACAATTTAATGTTATGGCCAAGAATTTAGCTTTATTATAAAAACAAGAGATTGCCATATATTGAGAGGCCCTATTTTCGAACACTTTTTGCAGCAATTTTGACCGTATGTCAGCTATAATGCGCCGGAAATTCTATTTTAAGGCAACAATCTTCTCGGGATTATCTTCGTTGCCCATAGAGTATAACAAACAGTGATATTTTGAGTATGGCTTGTGGATTATCATCACTCCAAATATGAAAATTTTGTTTATAACGTATTCATTCAACCAAAATTGAGCTTCATTGCTGAAAAAAATTTGCTTGTCTAAATCGGAATCGGTGGCCAGCTCTTTTCAATTCTCGCACGGGTTGGATTTTTTAAGGCCGCAAACCAAGATCCTTCCGCAAACTATACCATTAAGTGCTTTGGTACAGCTCCAATTGTCGCGCGTGATGGCGGATGGACTCATTCGTGATTCCTCGAATTAGCGACATTGCTGGGCGAGTATGTCGATCGAATATTGAACACAGCGCGTGATGCGTCTTGCGAACCCAACCATTTTTTTTAGTAATAAATCAAGTAACAGTTGTCAAAAGACCAATTACGAAACAAGTATTGCCTCATTGAAAGCTACACGTCTAAAAAACACTCGTTACCTCGAAAACATCACCGTAGATAACTTGTTTCACGACATCTGTTTTTTCATCTCATCGCACCGATGTTTTCATATCTTTCCGTGGCCCTGGTATATTGAATGTAAACAATTTTGGTCTTAACCTGGGTTAACTTGCTCGATATTCAGGTTGCGTAATTTTTATATCAGTGTTTAAACTTTAATAATTTTGACATCTCTTACATGATCTGCATACATGGCAGAAAATAGACCATAATCTCCTCGAGCTAGTTTTATCTTGTCGAAACAAATCGTGAGATATATGGATGTAGTTTTGTTATATGTAATTTTTCATTAAAGCTCAATCAAATCTTACGTGTGAAACACTATACGAGTATATACGGCAATTTGGGAGAAAAGAGGAATCTTTTTGAGAAAGAGGATCTTATTAGACCTCTAACTCGAAGCTTGCCCTCTAGTAAAAAAGCTTACTAACGCCTTCTCCACTGACTTTTCCTTGCCAATACTGGTCTAAATAATAGAGAATGGATTTAAAGCTTTCAAATATTTCAGAGTTTCTAGACCAACAGTCATCTAATTTAACTTTTGATAGCAACCTTTGCAGTAACACATCTGTCGACAATATTATGTGCATTACACAAATACCGCTATACAGGCTCAATTAAGGTTTCATAGAGTCAATTGACCATTTTAGGTTAAATGCGTTTCGCCTCGATATTAGACGTCTATGAAAGCTTTGACACTTATCAGCAGGCTGAGGTGTTACTAAAGGAAGAAGATCAATACATAGATTGATGGCGAAATTACTTCTGGCAGCCTAGGTAGTCACCATGTTGGAATATCTTTTAATTATCTCGTAGAAGGTATCAGCAACTTTAGTTTAAATTCTTCGTCTGCATAGGAATTAACTCAGCAGTTCCTCAAAGTTTGGACCGCCGATATCCGACCACTATAGCATAAAGCTGCCATACAAACAGAACATTCAAAATCAAGTTCTTGTATGGAAAACTTCTTTATTTGTTAAGGGTATTCTAGCTGCGGTACAATCGAAGTTAACGTTTTTTCTTGTTTTAGTTTCTGCTTGTAGCGGTGCGTGTATTTGTGGATAAATTTTATATAATTTAAATAGGATTATTAAAAATATAAGTTTTAGTAGAATTTTAATTTTGAATTGCTAATACTGGAAGCTTGGTGGCTTGGAACATAGTTGAATGATGTGCAAAATATACAACACCCCTGTATAGGGGTGTGCAGATTTTTACAATGTGTTATCTTGTAATTATCGCAAAGAGTAAAAAATTTCATCTGATATGTGTATAACTACTAGCTTGTCGGTTGAGTCGCATCCGACTCAGACAACAATGAAGCAGACAAAACGTGCGCCACCGCCCAATGCGAAGTGTTAGCATTCTAATAACAACAAGCACTGGCAAAATCTAGTAGCGATTCAAGCTGTTAAGCAGCTGTGAGGTGCTAAATCATTGAGCAGTGCAAATAAATAATCGAAAATCAAACATTCTCAGAACATCATAATTATCATTAATATATGTTTTCATAATTCCTGTTAACATAATGGACAAAGAAATAACTAAGTTCATGCTCATACATTCTGAAATATTTCGTGTACATATGTATGCATTAGCAAGAATAATTTGATACCAGTGGCGGTCCCCTCTGCGAATCACAGATCTTCAATTTACTTCATGCTTGGTTAGAGCGACACTTTTGGTGCTCGATGGAGTGAGCAGAGGCTCTGCTGACTTCGGATGTGTAGTGGGCTTCGGATGTGTAGGGAGCGACTTTTGTCGACGTCTTCTTTAAACTGCTGGCTGGGCTAGCCAAACCTGTTGGTGGATGCTGTGGTTGCTGCTGCCACTCCGCTCTTGAATTTGTCTCAGCTGCTAGTGTTGTTGTTGGTCTTCTTAGTGGAGTTGTTGTTGCTCTTCTAATATTGGTGTTTTTGTGTTACGTTTTTTTAAATTTAAATATATTTTTTTATTCGTTATTTTCATTGTCAGAGTCGTCGTTGTTGTTATTATTGTTGCTGTATTGTGTTGCTTTTCTTTCGTCACTTCTGATGATGATCACAACAACAATACGCTTGAAGCGATAAAAATTCATATATAAATGTGAATTTGTCACAACGATTCTTGACAGTAAAATAACAAAATTTGCGCCGAACAGATCGATCGTCCAATGATCGCAAATAATTTGCAAGTCGAACAAAGAGTTTATTATTTTTTTCCTAATAAATATTTGTGCGATAATAATTATTGAAAGTGTGAATCGCAGCCAGTGATTGTTTTTTTCAAAACGAAATCAAGAAGTTAAATAAAAAATTCGCCAACAACGCAAAAAGTGTCAAAGCAATTACTTTCTGTGATAATCAATTGAATCAACCTTGCTGATTTTTTATAAACCAAAAACCAAATATTTGAAAAAATAGTTGAAATCATAAACATATGTACTGAACCAAGGTGTGTTTTACATTACATACTAAAAATCGTTTTTGAGTGTCCTCGAAGCTTAAACATTTGCAGCAAAAGCTAATGAAACCAGCAATGGCTAAAGTGAGTATTAAACTAAGAAAATTGTTAGTTCAAATAAAAGTCAATCGTTGTCTTAATGAGAATATACATATATTAAATTTAGCTTCAGCATGAATGAAAATATTGAGTTTTACCTCTGATTTAATATTTGAAAAATGTAGTCTAGGCGAATTTGTTATAAAAGTACCGAAGCAATTATAAATAATTAGAAGTAAGTTAATAAAATTTAATTTAAAAAAATTAAATACAAGTCTTTCTGCAAAGTTCTCCATATGAAAATATTCAAAGAGTAAACCGTTAGAAATGTTGTGTTCTTTTAGTTTGTTGAGTTAACATAATACTCTATAGCGAATATAGTTGACACTAGGCATCCTGATACCAAACTATACATTTTGCATGGCAAACGGTTACCAATCGCTGGCAACTGAGTGTCTAGCCGCCATTTTTTGCTTATTACCTATTACTACTCTTCATAGTCCTAGTACACAGAAATATCAAAAACGTATTACAATATTTTTGGAGGTTGTAAACGTGGAAGAAGGTTACAAGAAAATATGTATTTATTTACTGCTGAAAGTTTTCAATTCAATAATTTACCATCTTTTTCGCACATACTATATAACTTTAATTATTGAATCTAATTGTACATAATATAAAAATTAGACGAACTTAAGGTTGTAGCTGAGCTGGTTTGGTGATACGTTGCTCCTTTCTCTTTAAGCGGGTTTCTTTATGAGGTTGTTGCAAGGTTGTAGGAATACCAAGATTTTAGTGAATATTTTCATACAGTTGAATATCATACATCCAAATCGGCTTTTCACCGCGTTAAATTTGCTGCTTTTGTTTTCGTGTTATTTATTATGCTGGATATATGTATGTTTTCTCCATGTGAGATTTCTGTTCAAGTGAATGTCGCAAGAAATTGATCACAGATCTTTGGCCTTATTGACAATGTAACATGCGTACATTTTAGTTCAATTAAGTGCATTTATTCGCCAGTTGATTAGCCATTCTTCGATCAAACTTAAATGCTCCTCTAGTACGCTTGACGCTCTAATGGGACATTTATTACGACATATTATATTAGGGCAGTGTCATTCGCAAAAGTTGATGCCAATACATTACTAGTTGGAATGTCTGCTGCATATAAGATATATAAAAGTTGGGAGTATCCCTTGATGTACACCAACCTTTACCGGTCGTCCATCTGATATGAAATTAGCTACCTCAACAGTAAATTTCCTACTTTTTAAATAAGACTCCAATGTTTTATACAATTCGAAAAAAGTAATGCTTTAATTTTTATAAAGGCCATATTACCAAAATTAATCTCCCAAAAAGTTGTGTTCTTAAAATTCTTTAAAAAACTCAATATCGTTATTTTTTTTGTTGCGAAACTTTTTAAAGAACTTTCGATGTTTAATAATCTAATATTTACATTTAAAATAATTTTTGCGAAACGCTGCATTTTTTAAGTTGTTAGTTAATAAACTATTTATCAGATCCTTTAAATTAAAAAATTCGAAAAGTAAAATGTAAATTCGATAAATTTCAATGAACGGCCATCTTTTCCAAATTGGAACAATGATGCGAAATGTTTGAAACAATGCGATTCAAAAATGTACCTAAGCTCATGGTATTTATTCGCGCCTTCAACTATACTGGCTCCAGTAGCCTTCTGGAAAGCAGTAACATGTTATGGAAAGCAGACCGGCAACTACACTTCAGTAGCTTTACATAATAGGGGTAAGTCTAATTTGAAGGACGTAAAAGATGAAGAAGTGGCTCAAAAACTAATTTATTTCATCATACATTAAGATTTTTCTACGCATTTGTGGAACTTCAGCCTTTTCTTTATATTATCCGTGATTTGTAATATAGTTTGGTAGCTTTTCCTTTAACAAGATACCGTTTTAGGGCAAGCAATATTAAACAGCTTGAGCTTTTCTCTCCCTATTCGATTTCTTGTTAGTGCAAGCACTTTTGAAGACTTGAAATTCTTAACCGCAATTACACTCTCTACAAAAAGTGTAATTAGGTCTGTTCGCTATAGCATAACTAGTGATGAACAGTACCAAGAACAACAGGGTACAAGATTGCATCACTCTACGTCATAAATGAAATGAACTAACAAGTTTGCATAGTATTTGTAAACTAAGCCGTTACCTCCTTGCCTTTATGGCTTTATAAGCTCATGTATTTAGTTGTCAAACGTACAACGAAAAGTCAAACGTACACCTAAAAATACGGGAACGAAACTTTTTCACCTTTTGCGAAGTAAAGGGGAATTGAGGGCTTAATTTGCCACTGAATTCTGATGGTAAACACTGTTTATGATTGTCATTATAAACTTTATACCATACTTTACCAATACTATACACTAATTATGCAAACTAACCGTATTTATTTGGTTTTACCAACCGTTTTTATAAAATAGAGGCAATACATTACTATATCTAGTACATGGTCTAATAAAAATAAATCCAATCGTTTTCCAAAAGATAGCTTTATTAACAATTATTGAACAAAAACTTCCGCTTAAACCAAAAATAGTGGATTTATTTTAACTAGACTTATATATATATATATATACAATATACAATATATATATATATATATTAAATGTTTAAATTTTAGCTTTGGCGTGATAAAGTCCTATTTTCGGAAAACATCAGTGAGGAAAGTAGTCCAAGGGACTTTTCAGGTCTATACCCTCGTTCTGTGGTCTTATGTGATTACATTTATAACAGTGCAACTAATTTTCAGTCTATCCCTCAAGCTGAGAATAAATGTGTAGCGTGTAATTTGGTGATTCTCTTGTTAGAACTCTTAAAATTTTCGGTGTACCATCAGCTTTAAGCTCTTAGTAATAAAAATAAAAATATTCAGCAGCTTTGTAATATCAGTCAGGCCGAGATTAGGTATTGCAAGAAATCAACTAAAGTTATATTTAGCAACCTACTTTCAACAATACAATAGATTAACCATTATCCTCATATTGAGATATATCAATTTCTTGTTTTAGAAAGGCTCAGCCGTACTCATTACACAAAAATCACTGAACTTGATACAAATTTTAAGTTATGAGCAATGCATAATTTATAACAATACATTCTCTTCTAGCCAAGGTCACATCATTGCGATTATATTCTATTTTTTGGTAAATAACGTTTTGTTTACGCCTGCAGCGGTTTACATTGGAATCAAAAGTTACGGTCCAAAGTCTACGTATATATCTATAGAAGAGGCCGTATATTATGAACGAAATTAAATGAGTGTTTGCCTTAAATTGGCGTTGTTTGTATATTTATTGACACGTTTGAAATATCTTCTTTGCCAAAATTATTCGAGAGCGTGTTAGCTCGAATTTGAGAGTTAATTTATTATCCAATTACAATCTGCATATTAAAAATGCAAGCCAAATTCGAAGGCAATTTCAAAGCGGATCTTCGTCCGCAATTTTTTGCTGAGTGATTTAAATCATCAAATTTTTATGTCAATTTATAAATTTTTTTGCAATATTTGCCAACCAACATCGGCATTCTAAGTGGATTAATTTGAGTTGGGCGCCCGCAATTAAAATTTATATATTTTATTCTCATTAAGCTTGGCTGGGACACCGTTTTTTTGGTGTAAAGCATTTGCTTTTATTGGTATTTGGATTGTGGTGCGTCTACTGCGTCGATATTAATTTTAATTAAATTGGCACAATGATGTGAAAGAGATATTTTTAATACACTGTAATTATATTTGAGTCAATGGCATGGAAAAATGGAAATTTTAATTTATATCTGTATTTATTTAATTTATTTTTTGATTGAATTTAAGTAGTGGTAATCGATTTAGGGTAATTAAAATAGTGAGAAGTAATCAACACAAAAAGGGATCAGCAGCGAAATTAATACTTTGTTCAACTTTGTATGGCTATTAACTTTAAAGTTCTCATCCGATATATTTTAATTCAGCTTTGGATTTAAATTAATTAATTTCATTTCTTTATGCTTCAGTTTCAATGTATGTACTTAAAGCACAATCCCTTAAAATGCTTTGAGCAGAAAAAAGAATGATATATAGTAAGGGATTTCTTAATTAAGTATTTAAAATGAAAATTAAACTGCGATGGGAAAAATATAAATTTCGGTCAAAACGGTTCAAGTTATATTGTGAAGAGATATTATATGTTTTCTTGATCAATACTTTCACTCCTTTCCAATGATAAAAAAAACAAAAACGGTTATTACGCCTGCACTGAAGCTATAATACCTTCTACAGCTACTTTTTTATAACATAAAAAGATCTTAAACTTCATTTTGATAGATCAATTTGTATGGCAGCTCTATACTATAGTAGTCCGATCTGAACAATTTCTTCGGATATTGAAACCGTTGTCATGATATCCGTGTCAAATTCCGTAAATATATCTTATTAAATAAAAATGTTTTCTCTACAAGGACTGGATTTTGATTGACCAGTTTGCAGTTTTTTGCTATAGCAATCCGATATAAAAAATTTGTTTGCAGAAAAGTCGTTTCTTTACAGTATTCTACATTGAATTTTGGAATTATACCTCGTCAAAAGAAAATTTTTTCCATAGAAGGACATGTATTCGAACGTTCAGTTTGTATGACAGCTATATGCTATAGTGGTTCGATATCAGCCGTTAGGACAAATAAGCAGCTTCTTGGAGAGAAAAGGATGTGAATTCAGATTGATATCTCAAAAACCGAGGAACTAGTTTGCATATATACAAACATTCAAACGGATATGGGTGAATCGACTCATCTCGTCCCGCTGATCATTTATATATATATTTTATAGGGTCTCTGAAGTTTCCTTTGGGCTGATACAAACTTCGTGACAAACCTAATTAGACTTCTGCGTTACCTACTGTATTTTTTATATTTTTTTCTGATGTGAGCGGTATTGTTTCTGAAGTAGATCAAATTCAGTTTTTACGAAACTTCGACTGCAGCACCACCTGTTGATATTATTATAATATGGAGTAAGTTAAGTACGTACTA